CAGTCGAATTTACACAAAAATTGAATTGTTGCATCCGAATTTGGTGTTGTTACTTGACAGAGTTTGGAAATGACATTGATATAATCAGAAAGAGTTTTCACTGGCAGTTTGTTTTATCAATTGATGCATTCCCAAGATATTTTCCATTCCATATCAAGATCAATACATGAACTTGTGGATCAAACAACATCCAAATATAATTTCTAGATTGATACAAGAATTTATTATTGCACTACACACAACTTGATTAGGATTTGCAAAAAAATATTTAAAAACATGACAAATAAAAATAATTCTACAGTAAATTAAAATTATTATGATACTTGACCCTGATGCATTCTTAAATATATCCAAAAAAAATCGCAAATTGTTTTGGTTTTTTATTGGTGTGAGAAATAAAAAAAAAAGTTGCAAAACTAACGCTATCACTAGTCACATTATGAGAATAAATGAGATGACTGATATTCTAGGTCAAACCATACATATAAATAGTTTGCAGGGTCTATGGTCAAACAGTATCAAGCCAATTATGACACCAGTAGAGCATGGGAATAGATAACTGATATACCAGATACAATATGAGAGTATTCACTCTATTGCAGTAACAATGACTTGCATACATTCCCTACTTAACAGATGTGCTATAAGCCAGTAAGCATTTTTCGCTTTTCATAATGCATTTTTAGAGACACACATAGTTTACAAAGAACTTTGACAAAATGAACTTGACAAAATGCTTTAAATGAAACTATATTTTTTTTAATTTTTGTTGAGCAAAAAAAAAATGACGTAATGTAAACATAAAAAAGGAGGGTTGTCATAGAAACAGAGATTACAGCTCATAACTGTGCGAAATTCATTTAAAACAGAAAATAACAGAAAATTTGCTGCGACTAGAAATGTTTTAAATGAGAATAGTTTGATTGTGGAATAATATCAAGAATATGATAATATGCAAATTAAGAGTCGTCGCCAAGCTTATTTCCATGGTAACAATGATTAACTGTTTTCATCTATATCAGTCACTCCAGCAGCCATTGGGAAAATTAGATTACTTTGGCTAATAACTACAAGTTACCCCAACATGTCTTTCAGAAATTCAGCCAATTTTAGAGAGTAGAATATGTTGATTACGATTGTTATGGGCAACAGATTTGATGAAGAAAAAAAGATTTCTGCAATGTACACTGGTTGTGAAATGGGACCTGCTGCAATGTACACTGGTTGAGAAATGGGACCTGCTGCAATGTACACTGGTTGTGAAATGGGACCTGCTGCAATGTACACTGGTTGTGAAATGGAACCTGCTGCAATGTACACTGGTTGTGAAATGGGACCTGCTGCAATGTACACTGGTTGTGAAATGGGACCTGCTGCAATGTACACTGGTTGTGAAATGAGACCTGCTGCAATGTACACTGGTTGTGAAATGGGACCTGCTGCAGTGAACACTGGTTGTGAAATGGGACCTGCTGCAGTGAACACTGGTTGTGAAATGGGACCTGCTGCAATGTACACTGGTTGAGAAATGGGACCTGCTGCAATGTACACTGGTTGTGAAATGGGACCTGCTGCAGTGAACACTGGTTGTGAAATGGGACCTGCTGCAGTGAACACTGGTTGTGAAATGGGACCTGCTGCAATGTACACTGGTTGTGAAATGGGACCTGCTGCAATGTACACTGGTTGAGAAATGGGACCTGCTGCAATGTACACTGGTTGAGAAATGGGACCTGCTGCAATGTACACTGGTTGTGAAATGGGACTTGCTGCAATGTATACTGGTTGTGAAATGGAACCTGATGCAATGTACACTGGTTGTGAAATGGAACCTGCTGCAATGTACACTGGTTGTGAAATGGGACCTGCTGCAATGTACACTAGTTGAGAAATGGGACCTGCTGCAATGTACACTGGTTGTGAAATGGGACCTGCTGCAATGTACACTGGTTGTGAAATTGAGCCTGCTGCAATGTACACTGGTTGTGAAATGGGACCTGCTGCAATGTACACTGGTTGTGAAATGGGACCTGCTGTAATGTACACTGGTTGTGAAATGGGACCTGCTGCAGTGAACACTGGTTGTGAAATAGGACCTGCTGCAGTGAACACTGGTTGTGAAATGGGACTTGCTGCAATGTACACTGGTTGAGAAATGGGACCTGCTGCAATGTACACTGGTTGTAAAA